AAACCTAAGAAAAGGCACAGATAAAGAGCAAAGCCTCCCCAGGCCACTTTCTTGCATCTCCTCTGGCTGGGCTCCTCAGTCTGGCAGTGCCCAGCCAACGCTGGAGGCCTGAGCAGGGCTTGCTCTCCCTGGGAAGAGGTGAGCTTAAATATTTGGCTTCTTATCAGAGAAGAACTATATACAAGGGAGGTGGCCACATGGGCCTCAGGGAAGCGGGGCTCCTCTGGGCCTGTGGAAAGTCATCGTGCGCCTGGCGGAGCAGCAACACTTTCACAACAGATGAGGGCACTTGCTGAGTACACCAGAGCACTGTTCCAGGGCAGGGACTTCCCGAGGGCTGAGTGGGGCTCCTGTGAGGTGAGCTCCTGTGTGCCAAGGTTCCGCCCCATCCCCCAGCCCCTCCCTCCCCCAGGACTCAGAGTCAACCTACAGAGTTCAAGGCCTGGAATTTCTCCCTTAGGTTTCTCACTCTGCCTTGCTGGCTTGGGTCCACTGGGTCCCTAGGACCTTCTTCCTTCAGCTGATACTCTGCAGACTCCTGCAAATCCTGGCCCTGCCCCACCATGTCTGCTGGTGAGCTCGGTCCCTGCCCACTGCCCTCCTCCAGCCCCGCGGCAGGGCCAGGCAGGGGCCCCTTCTCCAAGACAATCACCCGCCGGTTGTCCTCTAGGGTGAGATCTGCCGTGACGTACAGGGGGGCATCCTCTCCATCTGGCCCGGGAGGCTGGGACTGAGCAGCCTCTGGGCCTGCCCGGCCACGCTTGGCTCTCAGGCTGCAGCAGCGGCCCACCCTGCCCGACAGAGGAGGCTCCACCATGTTCTCTGGCACCGAGCGGCTCCGATTGACAGGCAGACCTCGGGACCGGCTGCCCTCAGCCTGGACCGCCTCATCGTGGGAGGCGTATTTGGAGCAGAGCTCTCGGACATCAGGCCAGTTGAAGGTCTCAGTGTCCAAGGGGCTGAGGGGGCTTCTGGCGGAGGGCCGGGCGCCAGGTGAGGTGGTCCTCGGGTTGGTGGCAGAAGGGCTGAAGGAGAAATGCTGCGGTGACGTCTCCCCTGCAGAGCAGGGCTTGGGCGGGCTGTGCTTCTGGGCCAATGTTTGCTCGTGGTTGAGGGGAGACAGCACTGGCTTTCTCTTACCTGTGAGGAGAGAGAACACCTGAATCACTGGGCGGGAGGAGAGAGTGAGCTCTGAACAGCCTTCAACCAGCGAGGCTGGTTGGTGGAGTTTTGGGTGTGATAATGGAGGAGACTCTCATTTACCATCCACCGCCCTTTATCAAAGGGAAATGGGAATAATTAAGAAAAGGCCATGGACAAGGGGTCAAGAGTCAAAGGAGGACGAGAGCTCCATTTTCCTGGAAAAGAGGAGGCGTGGCCGCATTTGCTCCAAAGGTCTCCGCTGCTCAGGAAGAGTTGGGGGAGGGCAGTGAAAGGGCTTGACCAGGGCTGCATGTGTGGCCTTGGGGTGTCACACCGGCTGCCAGGGCTCACCCAGGCCCTCACTGTGGGGTCCAGTCCTCCAAGGTTCTTTAGGGGTCCCTTTCCCGCAGAAGCCAAGTGGCTCCAAAAAGGCTCTTTGGCCCCAGGCTTGAAGGAGGGGCCCACTCTCCATCCCGTCATACCTTTGCCACCAGACTGTGTTCCAGCTTCCTCCTGCAGGCAGGGAATGATGGGAGCCGCTCTCTCCCACTGCAGTGGTGGCCTGGTTGTCCCTGCCTTGCTCTTGATCCGGAGGCTGTACTGGCGGGCCAACTGGTAGACCCTGTTCTTGACTCTCTCACTCACATGACTGTCCATCACGTGGGAGAGCTGCACGATGCGGGGGTGCAGCGGGGCCACCAGCTCTCCCTGGGAGCCGCTGCTCAGCTCTTTCACCAGCTCCTTCAGCTCCTGGGCAAGGTGGGCAGGGCTGGGCCGCTCGGTGGGTGAGGCGCTCTCCGGTGAGGCAGTGGCCGACTCCTCGGTGATGGCCCCCAGCTCATGTTCCTCCAGGATGAAGAGTGGCTCATGCAGGTCAAAGCCATTGGCCTGACCTTGGCCTGGCCCCTTCCGAGGGCTCCCCCCGGAAGCCTCTATCCCCTCCCAGATCTTCACAATTTCTGAAGAAGGGCGGAACTCAGCATCTGTGATAGGAGCTGGGTCCCCAGCACCTGCCTGGCCTGGTCCTGGAAGGTCAAACAAGGCCCATGAAGCTGGCCGAGAGCCCACCTGTCTCTTGTGCCCCAGTGGAGCCAATGGCTCTGGGTCCGGCCTGGGAAGGCTGTTGAACCTGGAAACCGAGTTCCTCACCAGGCCTTTGGGGATATAGGAGAGGCTCTCCCGGCGCCGGATGCTAAAGCTGGCATCGTGGTGCTCTGCATTTTCATAGTAGCTCTTGATTTTGTCCAGCAACAGCCGATCTCGGGTAGAGAGCATCGATTCCTTCTTGCAGGAAGACCTGTCAGGCTCCACTGGGCAGCCTGGGCTTGGGGGCTCTGTCCCATTGACAGAAGGGCCACTCTCTGTGGCCACCCCCACACTGAGGTCCATTTCTGGGGAGAGCTGAGAGCTGAGGGAGTCTGTGGTGCTGCCATGCCGGGACGGGCCCTTCTCACTGCCCTCTAGGCTGAGCACACTGCTGCTCCGGCTGGTCAGCCTTGGGGTCCCGAAGCCAGTGGGCTTGCCATCCTCCAGTGCCAGGCTGCTCCGCCGAGAGAAGCTGCTGACGAACCGCTCAGCAATGACACTGGCCTGGTCCAGCACAGAGGGTGGCAGAAGGCTCTCTGGCTCTTGGGCAGCCCCCATTTCTTCTTCTTCTTCCTCTTCCTCCTCCTCCTCCTCCTCCTCCTCACTGCTCAGGGCCTTAATGTCCTCGGTGCTCTCTGCCACCACGAATTCCACCATGTCACTTGGGTGGGCCAGTCCCAGCAGCTCCTGATGGGCGTCGAGCTGTGTTTCCAGGACTTCTGGAGACTCTGTATCTGAGGGCATCTCCTCAGCGCTGGGACCTTCCAGGGCAGCAAACACCTCCTGCTCTGTCCCCGGCTCAGGGTCTGGATCAACCTGGGACAGCACAGAGAGCTCGTATGAGACCCGGGGGAGAAGGGGACAGCACGGCCTACTCAAAGCCTAGTGAGAGTGGGCTGCGGTTAGGGCTGAAGGGGCAACAGGCCCTTAAGGGGAATCAGAACATGATGCTGTCCTGTAGTGACCCTACAGCTGGGGTGCTGGGCCCATCTCCTCAAACTCAAGGAGGCTTCTAGGAACACAGATGGGGAGAGCGGCGGCCCCTCTCTGTGGCAGCCTGCCTGGGCGCTACAGGGACAGACGGGAACACACAACACAGGGTCAGAGACATGGCGCCAGGATTCCCTGCCCACTGGTGACAACAGCTCCCTAAAGCCCTAGAGGCTCCCCGCGTGGGGGTTGTTCTGGGTTCAAACCCAGGCCTGAGCCACATGAGGCCACTCCAGCTTCCCTGAGGGGCCAGGGCCTCCGGTGTGGCTCAGGGTCCAGGGGGCACAAAGGCCACAAGCTGGAATCCTGTCGGAGGGTGAGAGAGAGGTGTGGCTCCCATGCCCGACTCTGCATACGCGCCCCGCAAACCGCCCCGCAAACGGATGAGGAAGGAAGCAAATTTGAGAACTCCCTCCTGACCACCTTGGAGTTCATTTGAACCACAAAACTGGCCAGTACAGACAGTTTTCCAGAGATCTTTAGGGAGGAGATAAGCAAACACTCTATATTCTGAGGAATCAGACTTGATTCCAATTAGTCTAGTCCAGAGTCTGCAGAGGAGAACCCATGACCTGGACCTACACTATCCAGCTGAGTAGCCACCAGAGTAGCCATCAGCCATGCAAGGCTCCTGAGCACAGACCTCTTGGTCTGCAGGTGGGGCTAGTCCAAATTGAGAGCCGCTGTAAGGGTAAAATCCACACCAGACTGTAAAAACTTCATATAAAAAAAAGTACAAAATGTCTCATTAATAGCATTTTGTATTGATTATACACTGAAATAATAGTTTGGACATACTGGGTTAAATAATTTTTTAACGTTATTGGACAATTTAAAATTACACTTGCGGCTCGCATTCCACTGCCACTGGACAGGGCCACTCTAGACTCTTATCCAACGTCTTCCAAGCTTCTCTGTTGGGTCCTGGCCGTGAGGCCCACCCTGGGATCTAGGCCTCACAAACTTTTTCCTGTAACTTTGGGAAAGCAAAGGACTCCGTTTCCGGACAACCCACAGATAGCGTGGGGGGTGGGGCAGGAAGAAGAGCGTGGGCTTCTAAGTCAGAGAACCAAGTTTGGTCTCAGCTCCGCCCCCAGATGCTGCCCAATGTCAGGCACACATCACTCAACCCCTCTGAGCCTCTTTCTCCCTCGTAGAGCTGTTGCAGAGAATAGAAGGAAGAAATAAACCTCAGACATGTAGGGGTGTCCAGGAGTCATCAATGCCCTACCACTTTTCCCGGGTAGGCACAGGAGTGATTCAAATGTCTGGCATGCTGGCAGGGGCAGGGTTATGGCTGATACAAGAAGGCATGGCAGAAGGGACCTAAAATCTGGTCATTTCTGCTAACTGTGCCCCTTGGCAACGGACTCAATCTGCCCAAAGGAAGGGGCGTCTCTTACTAATTCACAGGCCAGACAGGCTTCCTGAAGCAGTGAGGGTCCTGGGGAGTGAACAATACCTGGCCCTATGGGCCCAATGGGACAGCCTGAAAGCCCCACCTGCAGACCACATCTGGGCTCCAGATGCCTCTGCACTATCCCCTTCTTCCTGCTGGCCACTCACCTCCGGCAGGGAAGAGATGGACTCAAAGCTCATACGTTTCTCAGCACTGGTTGGAGACCGGCTACTGGGTCTCCGGCAGCTCTTAGGATCCTCAGACTCCCTGCGCCCCTTTCCCTGCAGCAAGCAGAGGAGAGTCAGCTCCCGGGACAATGGGGAGCCGATCCCTCCTGCATCCCACCCCGGGCAGCACCTCCTGAGCCCTCAGGGGGCTGGGCTTTGCTGAGAGCCAGCCTTGGGCCTGAGCCATTCCAGAGTCAGCCTGAACTGCCAGGTCTGGGGACACAGAAATCCCTGCCAGGCATGTGGCCTCAGAAAGGCCCAACCCCCTTGACCCTTCCAGCCCTGCTCTGTGCTGGCTTCTCCCCCTCCCCAAGGCACCCACCCCATTAGTCATGCTCGTTGGGTAGTATACTAGTTAGCACTCAGTACTGGAACAGCACATGCCAAGGGCTCACTAGAGTGTGACAGTGAGTGAGGGGTTAAGGAGTGCTGATGGCAGGAGTAAAGGAAAAAGGACAGAGGGGCGGGGACTCTCAGATGGGCATGCACGTGCCAGCCAGCATGCAAGGAGGAGGGGAAATCAAAGAGACACCTCACCATAGCGCCCCGGGAGAAAAGTAAAGCGTTGGCCCGATAGTGCCAGCAGTGGAGGGCGGCCAGCAGGGAGCTGGCAAAGTCGGCTACCTGCTCCGCCACTGCCAGGCTCTCCTCCTCCTCCTCCTCCTCTTCCTCTGAGCCTGGGGGCTCCGGCCCAGACCCCTTTTCGCTGCCTTCATGCCCTGCCAGGTCCTCCAGAGAGACCTGAAAAGCCTGCTCCTCCTCCTCCTCCTCCTCCTGCTCCTCCTGCTCCTCCCGGGCAGCCCCTTCAGCCTCCGGCTGCAGACCCCGAGTACGGGGGCGCTGCCCAAAGTCCAGGAGAGTGCCAGCACTGCCCGCATGCTGTTCAGAGTACAAGACCCCCTCGTGACTAGCCTCTGGGCAATCCTCCCTCCTCCTGCCAGTGGTTGGGGGTGAGGAGGCTTTACACAGAAAGCCACATCTAGATGCTAACCCCTGGTCTCCACTGGGGCCCGGTGAGGATGGGGAGTGGGGGGTGTCCTCAAGGTGGGAAGCTGGGACCTGGAAAAGTTAGGACTGGAGCCTGGACAGGAACTCAGGACCCAGAGAGGCCTGCCTGCCCCAGAGAGGGAAAATGAGAGGATCCAGGCTGGGCAGGCCACTACTAGGGTGCCATTCTAGGAAGGGTACAGAAGGGTCCCCAGGATGAGGGCCACAGCTTATTCATCTCTGTGACCCTCATGACAGAACCAGGTGCACAGGAGGTGCTTGATAGGTATTCGCGAAATGAATGAAGACAATGAGAGCCGAAGGGGCCGGGGGATGACCTAGGCAGTCCCGCCCACCTCTGTCCAGCCAGTCTCCTCTGCCCACTAGCCTTACCTTCATTCCTGCAGCTGCTGCTCTGGCTGCTGCCACCACCACAGGGTTCCAGCACATGGGTGAAGGGGAGTGGAGGGGAGAGGGGTAAGCAGGACAAAGAACTTCTTTATAGAGGCCAGAGGCCTTAAGCCCCCCGGGGAAGACCACTCTAGGGGCTCCTACTCGCACAATCCTCCCTTGGTCCCCTGGGTTTTCAAAGGAAGGACTGACAGACCAGGAGCCCCGGGGGTGCAGAGCAGCACAGATCTGTGTGCATCACTTGCTCCTGCTGTTACCCGAGGATAGAGTAGAGGGAGCTCAAGGCCCCTCCCTAGACAGCAGGAGCAAGGAACAGAGACAGCATTTCCTCTGCGCTGTCCTCGACACCCCCACCCAAGCGGTTACCTGTGTCACCTTCCTGTCCCCACCCTAGAGCTCGCTGGGAATGGCTATCTACCTTTCATACTCACCTTTCTCGCTGAGCTGCCTGAGCAGGTGTCTGGTCGGCTCTGAGGAGGAAAGCAAACGGGCAGTCACAGTGCAGGCCTGGAAGCAGTTGTGCCTGGCCCTGTTCCCATGCCCACAGCACCACTGGTCCATCACCAGAGCAAAGTCCACTTGGGCCTGGCCCCACTGCAGCCCTACAGCCTGAAGGAGGCTGCCCACACCTACTCCATAGGGAGGCAGGGCCTGGGCCCCTCCCATCCAGCCCCGGAAACTCCACTGTGACCGCCAGCCCCCAAGAGCAGCACTGCCCACAGTCCCCACTAGCTCACCTCACCCGCACCCTCAGTTCTGGAGCCACAGCCCCATGCTGCCCCCTTCAGACCAACTAGCCACATCTCTAGAGGTCCCTGGCTCCGCCTCGACCCCACCCTCCCTGCATTAAGCACATAAGCACATAAGCTACAGCCCAGGCCAAGCTCCCTCACAGCACCCCAGCTGGAAAGCAGAGGTCGCACCGGACTTTCTACGGCCCTTAAGGCCTGGCACCACGAAGCTTCGCGGCCTGCTGGGGAGTGTTGCCCAGCTGCACAGGGGCTGACCAGGCTCTGGGGACAGGATACAAAACACATCCATTAGGCTGATGATATCATCACCTTGTACCCCAGCCTTTCCGGGGATAGACCTGAGACAGGCAGGTCCCTAGGGATAAGAGGACACATGTCAAGGGACCTCTCTACCAAGCCTGGCCTTAGCCCATAGTGTCCTTGCCCAACCGGCTTTAAGTGGGAGGCCCACTATAAACATGGAGCCAAAAGAAAAGTCTACTGGGGTCTCACTGCTCCTGGGCAGGGGAATCTTTTTCCTACCAAGATGAACTCACTCACTCACATACACAAACACACACACACACACACACAGTCTCTCTCTCTCTCTCTCTCTCTACAATATAAGTAAACATCCAACGGCTCTCTCTCTCTCTTTCTCTCTCTCTCTCTCTCCCTGCACAATATAAGTAAACATCCAATGATTTTTAAAGCAAGAAATATAAAATGCTCAACTCCTTCATTTTAAAACTTACAATAAAAAACATTTGTCAATAATGCCAGTAGCATCTTACTTATCCATACAGTGTATTTATTAATCTGCCCATCTCAGCTCTCTGGAAGTAAGAAGTAGGAAGCAGAAAAGGCCCAGAGACAGAGTTGTCGACTGAGAGCCGGCGCTAAGGTGCTTGCCTGGGCCCCACGTCCTCCCTCTCGGCGACTTCCTGGCCTGCTTTCACACACACTTCTCACAAGTTTGGTCAACCGATTTCTGAGAGAGGGGGGAAGAAAGGATACTACAGGCAAGTACACGAAGATAGGTGAGAAGGAACACTCTTCCATGTAAGATGGACACAATATCTCAAATGTGGGCTAACTGTATGGCAACCCACAGCCCCGCACCTGGGGGCCCTGGAGAATCCAGCAGCTCAAACACACCAGTGATACCACTGCACCGCTCCAGGGAAGTTCAGCTGTGGTCAGCATCATCCTCTCTTTTAAAGGCTCGAGAGTAGGAAGCGTGTTTTAGAAAGATGTGTTTTAGAAAGGGTTCAAAGTGAAACACAAAAACAAGCACACAAAACCCAACTCTTTATTATTAGAGTTTCCAGGCTAAAATCTCAGCCATGGGGAAACCTAAGCTCTGAAAAGGCTCATTTTCCGAGTGGCTTGATGGCTACAGTTTGGATGCTAACGGACGACAGATGGCATTGCTATTACTACCACCACCACCACTGCTTACTAAACACGTCCATGTGCCAGAAGCCTCCAATTTAAAGCTATGGCAGGTTAAGGGAGAATTCTAGAAGGACGGAAAGAGAATTACAGAAGAAAGGAAAGGAAAATAGGAAAGGTCCAAGACCTAGGAAGTAACACCAGCAATTTGGGGCTTTTAACATACGGCACCATAAAAATTTGCAACCATGACGAGTTTGCCTAAGATTCAAGGTCCACTGGGAGCAATACTAAAAATAAAACCACAAAAGCTTTCCAGAGACTGCTTGGCTCTAACATCTAGAAGACCAAAGGCCACAAGTCAATCCACTCAGTTGTTCAAGGGACCCGTACATCATGGCCAATCAAAGCCCAATGCACTGTGGAGATCCGAAGGACATTGCTCCCGGTCACTCCCAAATCTTTCTCTCCAAAAGTCTCTAAGACAATTCTCACCCTAACATCCATCTCATGAATAAGTTTGGCAATGCCCAGCTAAATCGAAACTGTCCCCAGGCCTCAGACTGTGAAAGGCGGAGGCAAAACAGATATAGAAAACACACATACACACACTCATCACCACAACTACTAGAAATAAAAGCAAGTTCTCTTTTTTAATGGATGATTCACTCCAATAACTCCAGGTACACAGCAGCAAGCCCAGTTACAGAAGAAAACCCAGAAGAAGAAAATGGAATTTTTTCCTGAGACCCAAAGTAAATATTTTCTGTCTGGATTTGGTGCCACTTGTGAAGTCTAACTTGTTTTCCCCACGTCCTGCCTCTGCTGCTCCACAACTGAGCTGGGGCCCATCCACGATGCCCGAGCATTACTCCTGGCTGACTCTCAGTATTCCAAGTAGTGAAGGAAGGAGGTTTCAGTTGCAGGGGAGCTAAGGAGGGCTGCCAAGGCCTGAGTGAACAAGCATCCTACGGCCTTGGAAAAGGTGGGCTGCCCAACCCTGGTGGGCGAGAAGGGCCCAAAGGTGCCTGGCAAGGGTAGCACAGGGGGAGGATGCTCCATACACACCCATCCTGCTCTTTCCCAGAAGGGGAGCTGGCCCCTAATGCTGCTGCAAACGGTCCCCTGCCTGGTCCAGGGTCCTACGAAGAGGCCACTCTTACCAGATTGCCGGCGCCCCTGGCGCACATGGGTCGACACCTCGTCCTGGGAGGACCAAGCCTTCTTCAGGCGCTCTGGGCTGTAGCGGTACCGATTGGGATCTGCACCCAGGAGAGACAATCAAGCCTTTGGGATACTATCAGCCTTGGCCTAGACTCTGACCATACCCGACCACACCTCTGCTGCCCACCCCAACTCAAGGGGCCAGAAGCCTCCAAATCTCCCTCCTCTTCCATCCCCTTCTCTCTGGGAGCATCAGACACCGTCAGCACTACTGTGCCCCCAGTCTCACTGTGGACCCCCCAGGCCTTGACAAAAGAAGCCACCCTATTCTCCCTGCTCCCTGGAATATGTGTCAAGCAAAGCTTCCCCAGGATGCAGCCTGACCTAGAGTGGAGCACAATTAGGGACAAAGCAGGCAGAAAGGGTATACTTACAATAGGAATCCATTTCCAAGATGGCTTCCTTGGCCTGGAAGGGAAGGAAACCCACGTGGTTACTACCTTGCCATGTGTCATGCCTCCCACGGCCCACAGACTCACTCTGGCTGCTCCAGGATGCCCACAGTGCTGTGCTGAGGCCTGTGGCATCTGCTGAACTGACCCCCACTGTCCAGAGGAGCCAATGTCCAGAGGAAGAGACCCCAGTGGACCCCCACAGCTGGCTCTGAAGGACACCCTCTTCTTGCACCTCATTAGGAGCTGGGGTGGGGACACCCCAGGAACTCACCTTCTGGGGGATGGTGGTGTGGTGGTTTTCTAGAATGAGCCTCTTGATGTGGTGAGTCCAGTTTCGTTTCTCCTCCACTGTTTTGGCCTGGGAGAGGGAGCCAGGCAGGGGTTACCACAGGCCTATAGCCATGTGGCATGAACCATGCTCCCACGGATCAGGGCCGAGGTGGAAAGAAGGCCTCTGTAAGACCCCTGTGCAGTTACCTGGACTCATCGTCACAACCCTGAGATGTGCCCACAATGACCTCTACCTTCCAGAGGGAGACCCTGAGGCTCAACGCAGCCAAGCGAGCAGAGGAGGCAGGTCTGTCCCCAGCCCGAGCACCCCAGTCCACTCCTCACCTGGATGCTGTACTGCTGCTTGCTGTGCTTGTAGTGGGTGACGGTGAAGCACAGGGAGTCTCTGGTGCTTTCAATCAGCATGAGGGAGGAGCACTGGAGCAGAGGGAGAAGGCAGTCACGCACAGGGGGAGAGCGGCCACTGACCTGGGGCCTCACTGAGGCCATCGGGGGAGCAAGGAGCATAATCGCAGAAGGATGGAGCTGTGTCCACACCGCCCCAGGGCCTGATGAAGAGGGGAAGGAGGGGAGTGGGGAAGAGGTGGGGGGGAAGGTAAAGGAGACGGCAGCAGCCTAGTTACCGGGATGTGACCCTTGTAGACAAAGTGGTCGCCCCGCTTCTTGGTGATGAGCAGTGCTTTATCAAAGAGGAAGAAAGTCTTCTCGTTGCGCACACGGTGCACACGAAATGTGCCCTCCAGGACAAGCTCCCCATAGATGGTCAGGTCCGGCCCCTTCCAGTTGATGAGCAGCGACTGAATCTCCTAGAGCAGAGAAGCCCCAATCCCTAGGGTCAGGCTGCTCATGACCCTGCTGGGGACCACACAAGACCTCAGGAGGCTCCCGTAGATCCAGTCACCACTGGGTTTCCCCACAGAACACCACCCCTCAACTCACTCCAGCAGAGCAACCACATTCCTTCTCCTAAGCCCTGCATCCACCCCTATATGTCCCTACAGCCACCAGCCCTGGAGCACCTGGAGTCGGACTGCGTGCTCATGCCTTCTCTTCATGTCATTGATGTACCAGGCCACACAGGTCATGGTGTCAATAGCATCCTCCACCACCTCAAAGCCATCTTCTTCTTCATCAAAATGTTTGGCAATTTCCTGCGCAGGAGACAGGGGCTTACCCCAGATCCAAGGGCCCTGCCCCACGCCCAGTCGCCTATCTACTCAGGGGACCCTCAGGTTACCTGGAGCAGCAGGTGGTATTTGAGGATGCGCTGGACTGGCTTCAGCAGGTAGGAGCCCAAGGGCAGTGAGTGCTGCAGCAGCTCCTGCCTGTCCCGGAAGAACTTAGCCTGCTGCTTGTCCCGCATGCACTCCGTCAGGGCAGCCACCGAGCTGAGAGGGGGAAGGGGCTGTCACTACCTGGGAAGGCCTGGATGGGGAGGTGGGGGTGCTCCAGACTCACGAAATGGCTCTGCCTTTCCTCTCCACCACAATTACTCACTTGGGGTAGTTGTTGCAATACTGGGTGTAGATATCAAACTCTTGGCTCTAAGGAGAAACCAAAAATAATGACATCAGGGAGAATTTCATTTGACCATAAACCCAGGTGTGCCAAAGACATGCCCCTGGTCCTCAGAGCAATTCTGGCCCCTTTTCTCAAGTGTCTGCAGATCCATCTTTGTACCCATCTGTCTAGGACATGCCATCCACCCAGCAACCCCTGGGGCTCCACCCCAGAATACCCTTCCCATTCCAGACAGGGCACCCAACACTTGCCCTGGAAAGGGGCCTCTAGGGCTCAGATGTCCTCTGAAGGTGGAAGTTCCTGTCCCACTGAGCCCCTAGCAAAGCGGGACAAGAGACAAGGACCTAGCTCTTCTTACCCTTTCCACAAAGCAGCTGGCGACAGCCACGGGGTCACTATTGCAGCTGTCCAGGTCTCTGAGTAGCTGGCTGGGCGAGAAAGAGTGGCCATCAGACCCCAGACCGCTCGCAGCCTCCATAGCTGCCAACACACCATGCCCCCTCCCCAACCTCCTGATATCCAGATACACAGTCAGCCCTGATGTCATGCCAAAGTGAGCCCTGTCCAGGGCAGCAACTACAAAAGCATCCAGCACCACCGCAAAGACGGGGAGCAAAGGAGGCCCACATGCTCAGCAAGCGGGAGAGGGAGGGGATACCAGTACCCACCTCGGGAGAAGATACAGCTCCTCTGCAGGCAGAAGGAGTCAAACACACAAAAGCAGAGATTACAGGAGGAAGGAGAGAGAGAGAGGACTTGAAAAGGAACCAAGGCCCCCAGTTCAGAAGGATCCGGGAAAAGGAGAGAGACAGGGTGAGCCCCAGCACCCCTTGTTCTTAATGGGGATGCTAAAGAAAACGCTAGAAATGGTGCCCCTTCTGCCTCCTCCTCCTGTACTCCCCACTTTTCCCAACTCCCCACCATCCAGCCTAGGTAGCCCTCCTAGACTTCTCCAGCTTGCACAGCAAGAAGTCCTTCTGCCCATCTTAAGAGGTCTGGGGTATGGTTCCTCCTGAGATTCAATGCTGTCCCCTCAAGCTCTGCTCTGCCTTTCCTTGTGGCATCTGTGGGCCAAAATGGCCAGATACTCAAGGAGCCCCTCTGACCTAAAGTAGCACCTCACCAGGCATTGCTCAGCCTCCTCCAGACATCTTGCCTGATCTGTGCATTCTCCTAATGGGTCAGATCACCTCCAGGAGCCCTGACTTCCATGGGGTCAGTAGGACGATGGAGAAGAAATTAAGAGATGTGTGAGTAGGGGATCAAGATGAGAAGGTCAAAGGAGACACAAAGGGACAGAGGTAAAGATCATCATGTGCAAAGGTCCAGCAGTTTCCTGGGGTGTGCTGGCCCAGGTTGGAAGGCACGGCGGCTCCAGGATACATGGTCCACATGTCCCCTCTCCTGCAGGGAGCTAACTATACCTTTGGATAGGGATGGACCACACTTTCCCACCCTCAGAGGTCAGGCTCTGGGCCCATCTGTCACAGCCCCCAGGACCAGAGACACCCAGAGCTCCTCCTTAGTTTCTAAGATGGGCCTTGCAGGCAGAACATGGTGTACGTCAGGCCCACTCCATACCTGTTCAGTGCATAGATGTTTTCTATGTTCCCAAAGAGGGCACTGACTTGTTCCGGCTTCAGCAGCCCAGGTGTGTCGATGATCTTCAAAAGGTAGTCCTGCATGGAGAAAGGCATCAGAACCCAGCTTCTCCTGGCACAACCCTGTTCCCCCAGCCACATCTCATTTCTGTACTGCATTTTACAGCTATGACATGATTTCACAGACATCACCTACTATACTGGGTTGGCTAGTTCCCCCCCCCCAAATTAATATCCACTGAGAACCCCAGAATGTGGCCTTATTTGGAAAGAGGGTCTTTGCAGATGTGACTAGTTTACAATCTGGAGATGATATCATATTGGATTAGTGTCTTTTTAAGAGGAGAAGACACAGAAAAACCGAGAAGGCGGCAATGTTGATGACAGAGGCAGACTGGAGTGATGCGTCGACACGCCAAGGAACACCAAGGATGGCCAAGGGCCACCAGAAGCCGGGAAGGAGGCCTGGAACGCATTGCCCCTCAGAGCCTCCAGAAGGAACCAACCCTGCCAACACCTTGATTTCTGGCTCTGGCCTCCTAAACGAGACAGAATAAATTTCTGCGTCTTAAGCCACACAGTCTGTGGTAATCTGTTACAGCAGCCTCGGGACGTGAATACACCTCCCTCCTCAGCAGGCAGTTTCCTCAGTGGCAGCCGCACCTTCTCCTGTGTGCCCTGCATAGTGTGAAACACTTCACATCCATGGCCCTGCGAGGCCGGTGCATCTTCATTTTACAGATGAGGAACCTAAGGTTCAGGGGGTCACCCACCTGCCCAGACCCCATAGCTAGGAAACAACAGAGCAGGGATCTGGGAGCAGAGAGGCCAGGTCCAGAGCCAGTTTCTTCACCTCATTCAGTCTCCACTGAGCACAGGAGTCCCTCCCCTCCTCGGCAAGAATGCCTACTCCCTGGGGATCTGCAGGAAGTTCTGCCAGCGGAGCAACTGACCCGACCCACAGTCATAAGGCAGTGTGAGCAGTCAGCAGCCTCCCGGGGGACAGGAGACGTGAGGCCCCACTCCGGGGGAAGCAGGCCTTCTGAGATAAACGGCAGGAAGAACTGCCCTTCCACGGTGCCAGTAGGTGTATGGAGAGCTGAGCCACGAAGGCCAGGGCCAGTCCCGGCAGGAGTTGGGCAGACGCCCTGCCGACCTCAGCTCTGGAGCCTCACCTCCACGATGCTGCGCAGATCCTGCACGTACATGCGCTCCGTTTCCACGATTTCCCGCACCACACGGCCCAGGTAGCTGAGCTTGTGCACAGGTGCCGCCGACGCCCGGCTGTTGAATGGGGACAGGGGTCCTTTCTTGTTCAGCCAGCTGCTAGAGTTGTTGTTGCTGTTGGGGGGATGCCGGCCACGCGGGGAGCCTGCCCCATTCTTGGCTAAGGCCTCGGGGCCACTAGGCTCCTCCATGGCACCTCGGCTGTCACGGGAGGAGCCCGACGAGGACGCGGTGGAGGTCAGGCTCACGGGCCGCTCCTGGCTGCCGTCCTGGCGGAGGGAGGCAGAGACGGGCATCCTGGCATCGCTGCCTGGCGGGAGCGCTCTGGAGAGATTCTGGGCGGGACAGACAAAGGGTCAAACCTCCGAGTCCTCACAGAAACAGGAAGTAAAGTGGTGACTACCAAGGGCGAGGGGGCGGTGTGTATTATTTAATGTAAAGAGTTTCAGTCTTACAAGATAGTAAAATTTCTGTAGATGAATTGGTGGTGATGGATGCACACCAATGTAAATGACATTAATGCCACTGAACTGTACACTTAAAAATGGATAACATATAGATGTTTATCTTATGTGTATTTCACCACAACTTTAAAAACAACTCTGAAGCCCCAAGAAGTCCCCCCCTCAGACGCTATGAGCATCTACGAGGGTGCCCAAGGTATATTCCTTCCCCGACTCCAACAGCGCCACCTCCACCTTTCCGAAGGTGGAGCAAAAGTGGACCACATCCGGGACATAAGGGCTCAGAAACCTGAGGTTTCAGAAAAGTAGAGTGGGCATCCCTGCCAGAGCAGCAGTCGGGGTGCCTTCTGATTGAATCTCAAGTACCTAGTCTCTCAGAGCCTCAGTTCCTCACCACCTGCCCCAGGGCTGTGTGCTCCAGGATGCAGCAACGTGCTGCATGCATGGCTCTGAACCTGATGCTTGGCCCAGGGCAAGGGCTCCATAAACTGTCTAAACAGTGATGAAATTGGTAGTTGTCAAAAAGCACTTCCCAAATGTCCACCTGTCAGGACCTGTGCTGGGGTCACCAGACAAGGACAGGCAAAGATCTGATTCTTATAATCTAAGAGGACACGCATGCCAGATGGTAATATTCTCCCCTGGATTACAACATCTCTGCGCCATGAACATGAAACCTTATGGACACTGACAGAGAAGGCAGAGGAGATAGTACAAAGGCTGAGGCCAGCATCACCCCTGCCTCCAACCCTAGCACCTTGTACAGGCCCCTGACTCACCCTGACTCCCAGAGCACAGGAAATTCCCCAGGACTGAGCCACCAGTGAGTCTCCCTAAACCCTCCCAGCACAACAAGCAGGAAGCGGCTCCCAGGTAAGGCAAACACAGCCTCAGGTGGACTTTATTCCCTGTACAGAAGGTGCAGCTCACAGCGGGGGCCGGCCTAAAGCAGCAAGTCAGGGGAGGGGCTGTAGCCTGAGAAAGACAAGAACACTCCACCACAAACCTGGAGGACAGAAGCTCACCAACACCACTTTCTAAGAATGTACATTTGATTGCTATTTTCACAGGAAAAAAATTCCACAGCATCCCTCCCACCTCCACTGACCCAAAGCCTTCCATCCCTAGTTCTAGGCCTCAGAAGCTACCAGACCACAGGCTAGAGCTACGAGGAAGTACCATCACTCCAGGAGCTATGAATTTGCCCCCTGGTTTTCTGTGCCTCTGCCCCAACCTGAAAGCAGCGTCCCCAGTCTGTGCCAACACCCTCAGGTTCTGGCTTTTGCAAACGTTCTCTCTGCTTGGACATTATTTCCTCCCCCCATCTATCTCATGCCATACCATCCCCCCAAGCTACATCCCTTATACGCAACCCTCAGGTCTCAGATTAGAAGCCACACCCCCTCTCCCCGCCCAGAAATCAAACCTGGGGCACCTTCTGTATAACCCCACAGCACTCACAGTGTTACGCCTACTGTAGCACACACTGCCTGAGGTCATAACTGGTTTGAGAGCCCCTGCTCTAGACCATAGGTGACCTAAGGGCCAGGACCTTCAGGATGATATGGCAAATGAATAACGACAGTGAACAAATTGGTGCTTCCACTGAGCTGAGTCAGGAGCATTGAGAGGAGAGCATTGAGACCCACTTACCATGAAAGCTAGCCCAGCAAGGACCCACTCAAGCACTGTGCTTTGTCACTGTGTCTCAGCTGGGGGGTGAGGAGGGGGTCAAGTCTGAGGTGCTCTTTTTGAGCCTCTCTTTTTGCAGATGAGGATACAGCACTGGGGCAAGTCCTGTATCCTCCCCACCTTCAGGCACGACAAAAGAAGGATTAATTAACAGATTCATCTTGGTGAAACTGAGCATCTCGGATGAGAGCCCCTTGGGAAATGCAGCATTGCTACTTTTTCCTCTTTCTTGAAAAGAGCCGTTAAAATTAACCAGCTAGGCCTTTCTACAGAACCAGCTGGCAGAGTAACATCAAGTCATTTCAGCAAAGAAAGACTAAGACCCATATTCAGCCCCAGCACTTAACCTCCAGCCCTGTGGGACTCTGATGTCCTTGAAAGCAAGCTGCAAAATCAGGCACACCCCACCTCTCCCACTCCCCACCCTTA